GGAGCTGTGCCTAGAGGAAGAACTGTGAGGGGAGAGACTCCATCCAGCAAGGCCTCTTTCCACCTGCCTTGGTCTACCCTCTGCTTCTCAATGTGTATTGTAATGTTTTATGTACTGCGGCTTGCCGTTATTTTATTGATTATAGTTTAGATATTACTGTAACTGCTGAGTGGATTTCTGTTTAAAGTTTATATGTTGATATTATTATTTTATACTATTCTAATGATTGTTGAATGTTACTGTTTTATTATCACATTTTTGTATTGCATTAGATTGTTATAAGATGTACGTTTTTTGTTTCTTCAGCTTGTAAACCGCCTTGAGTATTGTAAGATAGAAAGGCAGTATACAAATTAAAAATGATGATGATGATGACGAAGCAAGGTCAAACGACGCAACACAGATTCTACGTGCACAGAGTCCTTAATTCATAAAAACGATGCCCCATAACTGCTGCAAAGGAGGAGTTTAGAACCTTTTTCAGCCCAAGGGCTGCATGCCCACAGAAGCAACATCCCGGGGCCCACATACCAGTGGTTAAAAGTGGGGAGAGCAATGGGTGCGACTCTTGCATTTGTACCAGGCGCTAAAGTCTAACCACACAAAAGCCAGGGGTTTTGACACGCCTCCTCATTCAGGCTATGAAGAGACATTATCACAATTCAAAGACACATTCCAGCAGGCAAAAGCACTCAAACAGTGTGATGCAGGCTCAGTGGCACATGCAGAGGGGCAGGTCAGACAGAGAAACCTACAATTCCCCACCCCTGCTATATTAAGTACCTTGGGATGCGAACGGGATCCGTTCCGGAGTCCCATTCACATCCTGAATGGAACGCAAGATGCGACGGCACGTCTGAGCATGCGCGGGTCGTGTTTTGCCGCTTCCGCGCATGCACACGACATCATTTTGAGCATCTGCACATGCGCGAGCGGCAAAATCTGGGTTGCCGCGGAGCGCAACCCGAAAGCGCTCAACCTGAAGCACATTCAACTCAAGGTATTACTGTATATGCTTAGGCTGCAACCCTCAACACAATTATTAGAGATCAAGTCCTATTGAATGCAACTGAATATACTTATGGGTAAACATGTTTAGGATCATACTGCACCCAACAGCTTTCTAGCAGCATAGTACCTATGTTTACCCAGAAGTAATTCCATTTGAATTCAAAGCAGTTTACTCTCAAATACGGTGAGTTTGGGGTTGTCGCCTTAGTGATTGTATAAATATTCTTTCACGAAGTGGTAACAGTTGTTGCTATTTTTCCGGAGAAAGATGAATTGGAGTGCCTATGATTAAAATGATACTCTGCTGGTGAAACAGTGTAGCAAGTTTTAGAGTCGCTCAGAAACAACCTTTAATAGGGCAGGTACTTCAGCTCGAAAGATCTAACAATCACATCTGTTCCCATGTTTTGGATAGCCTTCCTCAAAGGGGACTTTTAGGCAAACACTCTTGCACATATGAAATCTACTCAAGTTCCCCTTTAATCTGCAAAGGATATTTGCAGTCTTGAAACTGCAATGACACGCCCTGCAGTAATGTTTCAAGATTTAAGCTATATTAGCCATGCTGGTATAAAGTGACTTTTCCCAGGTCCTCAACACTTCCAATGACTTTAGAGATCAGTGGAAGAAGCAGATACTTAGTCCTCTTACAAACAACAACTGCCTGACCTATGCTTGCCTCTACTCTGAATAAGTGAGCATGAGGCCTTGCGGCCCAATCCCATGGTTGCTTACAATTCTACATCCAAATTACTTCAAAGGGATTTGCTTACAACAAATTTTGCACAGGATTGCTTCAGACATTAAATTCACTGGAAACATTTGCCTTTTTTTTTTTTAAACCACTTTATCAGAGCAAAGGCACTCCATATGATATAATTCCACAACTCATAAATGAATGGCAGATTCACTGTAGATTTTCAGTATTGGCTGGATAATCAATTTCTTTAAAATAATCCAAACTACAGTAATCAAATTTGTTAGTCTGCATATGAAATCAAAAGAATATATATGTGTGTGTGTTGACTAATTTCACAGCAGCATCAAACACTCTGAAATAAGCATACTTTCGCTGAAATCTTGTGTATGTTTACTGACCTGGGAGTAAGCCCTATTTAACATAGTAGGCCTTACTCCTGAGCAAGCATGCATAAGACTGCACAACCACATCAAGAATGAACTTGATCCATCTATGTGTCTAAGTTGCTAATCACATCCCACTTAGTCAATATACATTGGAGGCGAATTCCACACATTAGCCATCTGTTCTCTGCCTCAGAATTTCAACCTGCACTTTTATTATTTTTGATGAATTCTGCACTGGATCTACAAGTCTGATGCGTTAAATGTGTGATGAAATGTTACCACTATTAACAGCATGCTTCTGTACACTGACACAGTCTTCTGTGCATAAGGATGGTACATTCAACATACTGTAGCAATCTTCCAGCCTCTCCCTGTTAGCTTAGAAAATGCCAAATCGATGTGCAGAAAGCTTGAATAAGTCAATATTGCTTTAACCCTTGCTACAGTTGAGGTTTTTGCAGAACTGGCAAAAGGCACCGTCAGTATAAAGGCATGTAAAGAAGGCTAGCAACCCCAGCGATTTGGTCCTTGAGTCCTCTCCTCCCTCAGAAAGTGTTAAAAGAAAAATACAATGTCAACACCAGCTCCTCCCTGCTGATGGAAATGGTCTGAGTGCAGTTTTACTTTCTGGCTAGAAGCCCTCATAAAACCGTTACACACACAGAGGGGACGATGACTGGGAATGGAAGAAGAGAAAACACATTCCACCTTTTGAACTATTCCAGTCCCCAATTTGGGACATACTGGGGACCCCACCCCCTTGTATTTCAAGCATTTTTTCTATTAACCTTCAAAAAATAAAAAAAAGAGCAGCCTTTTTCCAAAACAAAACAAAACACCATATTCACCAAGAGTTAGCAGAATTCCTTTCTCAAGCACTTGAACAGCCAGCAGGAGAGACGTATTCTGACTTATGCCTGAGAAATATGGAACCACATGAAATCTTACTGGAAATGTGTGTGGTTTCTGAATGCACACATTCCAAGTCAGCAACAAATGCAGGGGTTCCAAAACGCATACCTAAAATGCCATCCCTTTTCAGTATTTATTATCCAAAGAATAAGAAAACAACCATTGGAAAATTGCATAATGCCCTTTGTAAACTTCCTGGAGCATCAGAATGGACCAAACTGTAGAACAATTGCACCCTCTTCAATAAAAACCAAGAAAATTAAATTATGCAAAAGCCTAAAAACAAAACGAAAACCCCCTCTGTTACTCAGTTGCAAAAATAAGCAAAATAATCTGTTGGTAAAAACAAGTAATAAAGGAACACTTATTATTCATATCTGAAACTTGATTAAATAGCAAGTCTCACACATGGGCTTTGCATTATGTCACTGGATGTGTTCAAATAGCATTTGCACCAACATATACGGTAGGTGGGGGAAGGTGTTTTTGTCCTTTTCTTTTTTAGTAAAACTGTATTCTCTTGGCAGGCTGAGAGAGTCCTTGCAAGCCCAGCCCTAAAGATTTTTCCATCCTCCGTAATAAAGCATGCAAGCAACATTGGAGCGGCAGATCTTCCTGCCAAAAAAGCCTCATTCCTCTATCTCTCCCAGCACTGTGGCAGGAAGAATAGCAGAATAGCGAGAAAGGAAAGGAGGAGATGGGTGGGTTTTTTTTTTAATCACCAGCCGAACACAACCTATATATTTATACACAGCCAGCCCAAATGGTACCAGAGGAGGAGGAGGAGGAGAAGGAGAAGAAGACAACAGGCGCCATCAAGAATCAATGGGCTCTTCCCCACCCCCTCAGCAAAATGACATTAATAACCAGTTTCCTAAGAAACTAAAAAGCAGGAGAAATAAACGTAGCAATCTCTTTCTCATCCTCCCTCCCCTTTTGGGGCCAAAAGCTTCAAGGAGAAAGAAGGGGGGAGGTGGAGGAATCTCAGCAGGGATTTTTTTTCACACACACGTACACCATTTCTTAGGATATGTCACACACATACGAGGAGAAACTGACACCCACAGGAAACAATTACAACATGCCACATCCACACAAACACACACACAAGGGATGGCGAGACGAGCTGGAGGCGAAAGGTTACACACTGCAGAGGGGACAAATCAACCTTCCAGAGATCATTTCAGATGCCGCCAGTTGCTCGCTCGCTCACGCTCCCCTCCCCCCGCACACACCACACTCCTAATCTTGCACACCCCACCCTACCTTCCCTTCCTCCTCAGATCTCTCTCCCCCCCCCCACCAACACCACCTTCAATTCCCCAGAGGAATGGCTGTTTCCCTCTCCACCTACATCCTCCCAGCACTTTTGATGCTGAGGCTCAGCTGTGCACGGGGGGAGGCACCGCGGAGGTCGAGGGAGAAATGGCTTTAAAAAAACAACAACCCACAATGTGCATTCTTTTATTTTTTGGTGCCCTTACCTTCCGATAATTCCAGCTCCAGCTCAGCCAGGCGGGCTCTCACTTCCAGCGGCAGAGGGAGGCTCTCCAGGCTGCGATCCGCCATACTCGATCCAAGGAGATCTCCTCTGGCTCTCTCGGCTGTGGCTCCTTCTCCTTTCTCTCCCCTCGCGCTGCTGCGCGGATGTGGGTCTGGCTCTTTGTTTGCAATACACACCGACGGAGAGAGGGACACACACACACACACAACACACGCAATCGAGGAGGAGGAGGACGACGGCTTGCGGAGGGGGGGGGGCGGCGGAATGGAAAGGGAGGGCGGCAAATTAAAAACAAAAGCACCCAACCCTCCCCCCCGCGCGCTGGGGTGGCGGCAACGGGGGCCCCGGGTCCTCTCCGGCGGTCTCAGCGAGGAATCCACGCAGAGCCCAGCCCAGCTCAGGCAGGGATGAGGTGGAGGGAACGCAGAGATTTCCCCTCTCCTCCCTCGCCGCCTGCTGCTGCTGCTGCCTTCAGTGGAGCCCCGCCATGGCTGCTGCTGCTGTTGCTGCTGCCTCCTCCTCCTCCTCTTCTTCTCCTTCCTCCTCCTCCTCCTCTTTCCCCCTCGCAATCCTTTCGCATGGAGCTGAGCGGGCCCGCTGCAAGCTCGCCACAGACTCACGCACAGCGCGCCAGGGCGCAGCGCTCTCTCCCGCTCGCCTCCCTCGCTCGCTCCACCCCGGCCGCTGCCGCTGCTGCTGCTGCTGCTGCTGCGGCTGCTTTTTCGACGGCGGCGGCTGGAAACTGCGGAGCCGCTGCCGAAAGCCGCCGCTTCTGCTTCTGTCACCCGCGCACGTGACCCGCCTGGGCGCAGCTGTCCCCTAGAGGGAGCGCGGGAGCACCGAGCCCCTCCAGCGAAGCCCGCGCGCGCTCCTGAGGCGCCCGGCGCTGCGCCGGCTGGCAGCTTCTTCCCGCGCGCGCGCAGCAGGCTCGGTTCTTGTGAGGGCAGAGGCAGCGGGTGGAGAAGGAACAAACAACAACAATGATTCCTCCTCGACACTATGAGCTGAATAAAGAGCATGAAATCCAAAAAACCAAAAAAAACAACAACAACAACAGAAAAAGCCTTTAATATATATATTAGGGCAACTCCTAGGGGACCAAGGTCCCTTCAGCCTCCCCCAATAAAATGTTTTTTATTCAATAAAATATGTTTTGTTCAACTTGGCATCCCTGGGCATAAGAGGTTCTTTTGGGCCCCCGAGGCAGCAGAAGTGGCTCGCATCCTCCTTCGGGGCAATAAAAATTAAAAATACATTATTTTCTGCCTGTGCACGGCCACCACAAAGTAAGCTGCCTGAGGTAGCCACTTCACACTCTACCTAAGGTTAGGGCCGGAACTGCTTCTTTCTCAAATGTATAACCCGCTGATTAAATCCCTCCGCAAAATGGTCGGAAACAGTTCTAGCATAGGGTATAGGAAATAATTATATGGCCATTGATATATATATATATATATATATATATAGTAAAAATTCAGCCTTGACCGCAAAATGGCCATGGTTAGAAAAAAGTAAAAATCAAATAAAAAAAACCACTAGTGAGGTGTGTCACATCAGGGATAAGACCTGGTCTCATTAAAGGCCAGCAAGTGGTCAGTTATTTATTATATCCATCCAATTATTTAATAGTTTCTCGTAATTTTTCACCAAAAAGGTTGCCACTTAGGTTTTATACCTTTCAAGCATCAAAATGTCTCTATAGAAATAATCAACAACACACACACGAGACACAGGATCCACAGAACAGCCAGTCAAGTTCCACTCACACAGTGGGGCTTTTCCTGCCTTCCCAATGTATCCCCTGGTCCATATGTCTTCCCTGAAAAGTCACTGAGAACATCCTCCAGAACAGACTATTATTATTATTATTATTATTATTATTATTATTATTATTATTATTTCAATTTATACACTAGGGTGGGGACATGAAACTTGAAGGAGGAATCTGCAAATAACAGAGAATATTCCCATTCTTACACAAAAGGAGTTGCCTTTTATGTACACAAGGATCTCTCTGGATCCTGTCCTAATACTGCAGCACAAACCATTAAAATAATACTCCATAACCAGTTTTAATCCCGTTCTAAATTTCCTCCCAAAGGAACCATGCTCATGCTAAAGAGAAAGGCCTTCATTATCCAGTGGAAAACATTTTTTTTTTTGTTTAAAGCCCAGGGGCCACATTCCCTTCTGGGCAACCTTCTGAGGGCCACATGCCAGAAGCAGGCGGGGCCAGAGGCAAAAGTGGGTGGAGCTGCAGGTGTGACTCTTTGCATAATAAGCTGCAGTCCTACACAAAAGCCCACATGCCATCGAGTCAAGCAAGAAGCATTAACAGTTGCATTCTAGCCGGGGGGGGGCAGACTCAAGGAGGGTACAGAGCAGGGACAAGGAATGGGGGTGTGGCCTAGGAAGAGCCTCAAGTGCCAGATAGTGAAGACTGAAGGGCCACATTTGGCCCTTGGATGTCAGGTTCCCCATCTTTACAGTGAGGCTCCTTCAACAAGGGCTTCCGTAAGGAAGGCATAACCACCAAGGAGGCTCTCAAGCAAGTCAATGTGGTGCATTTCAGGCAATAGGAAGACCAAAAGCAAGGCTGCCCCAGAAGATTTTAGGGCACATATGGGAGGAGGCATCCCATACATTCCTTCTCATGTGTAAGGCCCAGAACACTTGCCATACTTTTCCGTGTATAAGACTAGATTCCCCCCCCCCTTAAAAATCATGCTAAAAAGTGGGGGTCATCTTATACATGGGTAGTGCAAAGGGGGAACGTTTGATTGGTTGCTGCCGTGGCTGTCAGTGGCTATTGTGCATGTTGTTGGTTAATGTGTCAATGGGTGGTGTTGATTGGCCAATGCTGTGGCAATTGGGCGGGCGATTGGCAGCTTCTGCTGGAGAGGGCAATCCTGCCCCCAAAAAGCTCAAAAACCTTTTGCCATCTCCCCTCATTTTCTGAAATTCCAGTCCCCAAAAATAGGGGGTGTCTTATAGGCGGAAAAGTACGGTGTTACTTGAAACATTTAGAAAGCAGCCATTTTAATTGTGATGGAAACTAAGCAGTAACACACACACACGTGTGTGTGTGTGTGTGTGTGTGTGTGTGTATATATATATATATATATATATCTGTGGGTTTTCTTGCACCCACTCAACCCATCTTTTGTGTGTGTTTGTTTGTTTCATGTTGTGAAGAGCAGTGCAAACCTTTGTCCACCACTCCCCATGACTCACACATACTGCCCTACAATCTTGCGGACGTTGTATATCGGCTGCAGATTAGCTACCAATGCACCATCAAAAACTTGGTTGTTGACATATGACCAGCTTACCTAAAAGACTGGCTTCCCATGTTTATATCTGTTAAATCATTGAGATCAGCTTGGGAGGTTGTGGCAGTGCCATACTACAGATCATCATATGGTGGGGACTCAGAAGAAAGGCGTTTTATCCTGCTGCCTCTGTATTTTGAAATGCGCTTTCCTTTGCAATGTGAGAAGCACCTTCAGTCATGTTTTAAGACATATTCTGAAAACATACTTTTCTTCTCAGCCTTTCCCTGATAGTTAACGCTGGACCCTGTACCTTTGTATCTTACGATGTTGCATCCTATTTTTGGAATTTATGGTTCTGGTTGTTTTTTTCTTAGTAGCTTTATACTGATTTTTTTTTGTGTATATCTGAATCTGTTGTACATCATGTTGATTTAAAAAAAATTAAGCAATTTAGAAATGCTGTTAAATAAACAAATAAATCATTTTGGTGTGCTATTTTTATTATTTTGCCTGTGTGCTCCCTTGCTGTGCAACCAGCTCAATTGCTATTATTGTTGTTGTTTTAATTTGCAGAACATTATCCTAATACTGTAGGCCTAACATAACTCTCTCCATCCATGAAGGTGTGCACGCTCATGTCAACTTTCACCTCCTCTTAAACAGGTTTTACAGGTTTCTGTACTATTAAAAAATAAAAATAAAAAAATAAAAACCTGTTTGACCAGAGCTGGCAGTGGAACAAAATAAATGTCTGTACATTATGGGAAATGAAGTCCTCCTACAAACCATATTACACAAAGCAGAGAGAGAGAGAGAGAGAGAGAACACACACCTATTGGCTGGCCTCACCTTGAGATACACTGCACTATGATCTCAGCTGTGAACTTGCAGGGCCGGGGGCGGAGGGGGGGTACATTTTGCAAAACCTGTTTGACCAGAGGTTTCCTGCTCCCCCATACAATTCCTGTGTCATTTTATACAACCCTGGAATACATAACATCTGAAAGCTAGTGCAACCACTCTTCTTTATAATATTCAACAGGGTATTGGGTGAGATGTAGGAGCAACAGGATAACATACAGTGCAGAATTTGTGAAAAAGGAAAGGCCAGGGATTGACTATAGGAGTCATTTCATACACAAACACAGCTACAGGCCACAACTATGGTGAAAATTATAGGGTGCGATTCAAGGAACTGCGTGCCAAGCTCCGTACACCCAAAGGTAGGGGTTGGGTTTTGGACTTGAATTGCAGCTCTCCATGCTAAATTGCAAACATATAGACTGACAACCACAAAGAAAAAGGCTGAAGGGTGTTGTCAGGGAACTGCCATCAGTGTCCGAGGGAGAGAGCAAGCTCCAAAGGGATCCCAGAGTGTGTCCCGGGAGTGGGAGAGGCAGCCCGTCTTCTGGGGAAGAGAATCAACGTAGCTCCAGTGGAGAAGGGGGGCAGATGGGGGAATCGGCGAGGCCGTCCCATGACTCCTTGCCGGGGACCAGCGGGGAGAGGAAGGGTCCTCCGCTGCCTACGCCCTCCTTGCGCAGAAGGCTTCCGCGCAGGGAGAGTAGGAGGAGACTTGGCGTCAAATAGCTTCTTTGCTGGAAGAAGTTTAAGAAACGCCCACTGACGGATTCTGCCAGCGATTGAGACAGCCACGGACGAGTGGCTGCCCGGACAGGAAAGGTTCGCTCAGGCAACCCAGCCAGAGGTTGGGACAAGCTTACGCACGAGCACCCCTAGAATCATTACAACAATCCGTTAGTCCCTGACGTTGCTTGTGCGTAGCCCCGGAGAGGCAGCAAGATGAGCCAAACAGAGCCGGCTGGAAGGACAGAGCAAGAAGCCCTGATGCGAGGTCTGGTCGAGAGGAACCGAGACCTGGAGGTGCATGTAGCTACCCTGACGGCACGGCTGGAGGAGAGACGGGCTCAGGATGCACCGGTCAGAGCCACCCCGATAAGGAGGAAGGTTCAGGGGCTGGTACACAAGTTTGGTGGAAAGCCCCAAGACTACAATGCCTTCCGAACGGAAATTCAGTACGCTTTGGAAGTGCAGAAAAATGACTTTGCTGATGACGGGGAGAGGGTGGCTTACATTGTTGGACATCTGCAGGATGGGGCGCGCGAATGGATCAGGCCCCTAATGGCGACGCAGAATGATGCATTGAAAGATCTTAAGAAATTCTACCAGGGAATGGACGCGATGTACTCCAGCGAGGTTGAGCAAAGCGTGACACGGCGGGAGCTGATGGGGTGCAAGCAGGGGAGCCTGTCCGTCAGAAACTACTGGTCGCGTTTCGCGATGTTAGTCCACAAACTTGGGTGGGATCTGGGCTCTGAACCGATGCAAATGTTGTTTGAGGCGGGTTTGTCCCCCGAAGTGAAAGACGAGTTGTCCCGAGCGCCCCGCCCGCGGTCAATGGATGAACTCACAAAGACTGTGCTTGCGATCGGTGTACGCCAGGAAGCGCAGGCTCAAGAGAAGCGGGAGATAAGGGCGGAACGTTTCCATGACAACCGCATTCCCGAGATGCCGAGGGAGCCTTCCC